CCCTTTATCTTGGTCCTGAACTTTTTGCATGGCTTTAATGGGCAATTCCTCATGCTTTATATCTCTGGCACATTACTGTGTTTTATGGCCCTGTTTAAAGGCTATCTTCCTCTTCAACAAAAGAATCCCAAAGTGACACATCTGTTCACCTAACTTGAGAATTCTTCTGGAAAACTATCACTAAGAGTGTGATTGTGAATGGCACCTTTAGATCCTAATACCCTCATCTTGAATGTGGAGATGCAGGCAACAGGATGGTATGTGATACTTTCTGCATCAAACTCCACACATATCCATCAGCCTCCATCAAGTTTAACAAGGCTATCTCTATCAGCTCACCATCCACTCCTCAAATTTCTGCACCTTGGGCTAATGCCCTACCCTGGGCAGTATCTGGTGGCAATATGGCCAACAAATACAGAGAGCACCTACCTTCTGGTGTGCCAAGAATTCTAGGACAGCCTAAGGGAACTATGGGAGACAGAGCTGAAGACATCAATCTGGATTGTTTCAGAGGACATGTCCACACCTAGCCTTTTATCTGTAGAGTTATTGAAATAATTAACACCAGTCTATCTCCCTTCCAATTTCTCCCTCCTCATAGATGCACACCCCGTTTTGCTGCTGTTTGGTGTTCTTGGGCAGCCTCAACCACCATCACTACTGAATATCTGTCATCATTCACTAACCCCACACATTCTCATAACTCTAACATCAGTGGAGAAGGCCTACTGCCTCTGAGGGAGCAAAAGCCTATCTCAAGCAGGCATCAAGGTAGTTCTGAGCTCTGGTACCTGGCAAGTATGCACTGGACTTTCAGGGTAGTCATGACAAGTAAGTCTCCCAGCATCCATCAGAGGTGTCCCTGGATGACACACAGGAGCTAGTTAGATTCTGCCTGACAGTAGGTGGGGAAAATGCTAAGAAAGGGTGGGTGTCTGGCAGGCCTCTGCTGCTCTCATCTAATAGAGCTGTCCATTCAGTTCTCCCTGCAATTTCAAGCTGATAATAACTATTCAGAGCTTTCCAAAACCTATTTAAATAAGTTTTCTAGTTTCTCCACCAAATTCTCTGTCCTCTCTCCTTTTGGCTCTCTCTACTTTATGGTGAGCTCTATATCCAGAACCCTGAGCCTTGTGGACTTGTTTAGCATGTGGTTACTCTCATGAGCTCTTGAAGATGATTTCCTTCTAAATCTTCCAGATACTTTCCAGAAGTTTTCCTATCTGGAACCATTTCCTGATACCTGGTAATTCTGACTAAATTCTTGACTCACTAAGTAAAGGGAAATATTTTATTTACATGCTCAGAGGAATTTTGGTACTCAAGACATCACTGCTAGCCAGGTGCCGGTGGCTCACACCTGTAATCCTATCTACTCAGAAGGCAGAGACCAGGAGGATCATGGTTAGAAGCTAGCCTGGGCAAATAGTTTGCAAGACTCTATCTTGAAAAATCCTTCACATAAATAGGGCTGGTGGAGTGGCTCAAGGTGAAGGCCCTGAGTTCAAGCCCCAGTACCACAAAAAAAATCACTGCAGAAATCTCACTTTATATGGGTGAAGGATTAAATTAATTTCTATTCAACATAATTTCATAAAACAAGGAAATATGAGTTAAGAAAACTGTGAGGTAATATTTTTCACCACAAAATTCAACCAAAATTTAAAAGACTGATAAACTTACACAAGTGTGAGAGGGTGGGGTATCTATCTACACACTTGAATTTGTGGTTACAAATGAAAGCATTTGTAACAAAATTTTAGCAATATTTATAAAAATTTATAATTGTCACACCTTCTCTACTGTAGCCCAGTTTTCTCTTTGCTTTGTCTTTCTTATAAGGAACCATACACATTTACCCATAATTTCATGTTCAAAGATATTAATCTCAGTTCTATTAATCGTAACAACAAATGCGACACACTTTTATGTTCATCAGGAGAAGACTGGTTTATTACAGCATTACCAAAAAAGAATGTTGTAAGTGGAAAGATTGTGATTTATCTGTATTTAAAAATCTATAACAACTACAAATATACATATATGTATTACTATTAGTTTTGTTGTTGAAATATTTAAATAGGCCTAACAATAAAATAGTAGATGTATACTACTGAGATAAAGTAACTGTCAACTGATGCAAAAGAAAGAGAAAACTGAAATCTGAATAGCTTAATACTTCAGAAGTTTAATTCTTGTCCACATCAAATCTGATGTGGGTTGGAAGAGGCTACGTTCTATAAGATGGCCCAAGAATCTAGGCTGCTTCTATCATGTGGCTTCATACCTCAACTTGGATTCTCTGTGTTTTCTGCTGAATAGAACATAAAGCTTGGTGGTAGCAGACTAGTTCTTATGTGTCTTGGCCTGGAGGTGACAAACATATTAATGCTCATGTTTCAGTAGCAAGGTGGACTGGGAATGTAGTCTCTCCATGAGACCAGGAAAGAGACCATGACACCAGGTGGATGAGCAACTATCAACAATTTGTTATGACAACAACCCTTTCATTTCTTAGAGGAATTTCTAAGAGGTCCAAATTTGCCAAATTTTCTAGTTCTTATTATGTGAGAGATGTTTTTCAACCATAGGGTCAAAGGCTACTTATGGGAGAGACTTTGGTTTTTCAGCACCTAGGTGGTGTATGTGTTCAATGTACAGTATCAAATAATTAACCCCATTAGAATGTAGCCTCAAATGGTTCCCAAGGTCTCCTCTCTAGCCTTAGGGTTGTAAGCCAAGAACTAGTAGATTCTGTGGCAGATCAGGCTTCATTTGCTTGCAGATCTGAAAACATTTTGAGAGTGTGGTAAGAGCACCCAGGGAGGTAAAGATGGCTCTAAACCTCATTGTCCAAATAGAACTATTGCATGGAAGGGACTCTTTCTGTCAGAGGGGATCCATAATGAGGGATGGGACCTCCAAGGACTTGGAATCCTCTGTGTCAGGGAAAGGGCAGAGGATTCTGGGCTGTTCCTCTGGGAGTGGAGCAAGTACAAACTCCAGAAGAGTGGGGAATGAAGAGCTGGCCACCAGATCAGTTTCAGTCTCCACAGAAAGGCAATGGGGGAAAGATCCAGTGGAAGGGAACTGTAGTGTGGAAAAGGATTGAGACCAGACACAAGAGCTAGCATCAGGACAAAGTTGGCTCTTAAGGAGCCCCAGGGATAGGGGAGGGAGGGTCTCAAGCAAATGAACCCCATAGACAGTTTGATTCTCATTTAACCTTCCTTTTTTAAGGGATTAAAAAAGCATTTTTTGTTAGCATTTTGTCGACAGGGTACATCTCAACACTTAAGAAACATCATGGAGTACTAAGAAGAGAATTAAAAGATGAGAGGCTGGCTTCAGGTTGGTAGAAGTAAAACAGTGGATTCCAGAAAATTTCAGACCTGAGGTCTGGTCCTAGTTCTGTCACTTAATAGCCATGTGAGCTTGAAATTATTTTAGTTCTTTCTCTATCAAGTGAGTTTGATAAGGTCCATCTTGCAGGGTATTTGGAATATATAAAATGGATGTAAAGCACCTTGGCAAAGTGACTTGCAAATATTGGGTCTTTAATGAGTGGAAGTTGTTACTATGATTACATTCACACTAGAAGAGAATGACTCTCATATCTGGGGATTGATTTTTTTACCCAGAAGTCAGAGAATATACAGTACTCAAGAGCAAAGAAAACAGAGTCAGCTAAAATGCTGATAAGCAACTAACACTAAGTGAATTTTCCTTAGTGGAGAATATACCATTTATCATTACTAGAATTCAACTCAAAGCTTGAAAACTTTACCTCAACAACCAGTAATTCCTCTCGCTCTCTGATGTCCCCTCAACAAAAACACGGATATTTTCTTTTATTTTATGACCCACAAAATCTAGCACTACTGTGAAGTTTTTGCCTGATTAATCAAATAGACTCTAGCTCCCCCAGCTCAAGGCAGGGAATGCCAACCCAGTAGCTTCTTGGCATCTCACCTCAAGAGAGTATCATTTTGATTTCTCAGAAATTATCTGCAGAGATTATGGACAAACAATGGCTTCTGCACTGTGTTCAACTGCACTGGAAAAGGAGAACAAAGCTTCTTCTATTCCTATACCAGAGAGGTCTCTCTGCTTTATAATCCCAAAGTAAGGATAGTTTCCCATGCTCATTCTCAACGAGGGTGCTCACTACCTGAGGATTTGGCACCTGTTCATGATTATCACAGCCTCATATAAATGGGGCTAACTTAAAATGATTTTCCAAAAGTAACCTGCAATATCCCAAACCACAAAGTTCCTTGGCTCAGGGAATTTACATTTGCCCTGATCTCCCCCATTCAAACTCCCTTTTTAGTTGGTTCATGTTACAGTATGCCACACCATCTTCTTTTTGCAGCAATTCCTCTTACACTCTAATAATCTATGGGCAGGAGAAAGTTCTCCTTTATCTTAGCATCATCATTACTAGCACAGCCTTCCAAAGAGTAGATGCCCAATTAATGAGGAGAATAAATAAGACACTGAGCAAAGAATATAATTTATTACTATTTATTATTATCTGCATTCTCTAATCACTTAAAGATAGCCAGGTATGTATCTTTGAATTTTACACAAGGAAAGACAAAAGTGAATAAGGCAATCTAACAGTTGACTATGTTTTGATGTTTTGCTTTGTTTTCCCTTATTTTAGGGAGTTCGATCACACATTTCCAAGAAAATTTTCATTCCAAAGCCCCATTTTCATGTTCTCTAACACAAAAAAGTTTGAACAGTTTTTAGAATGCATTACAGAACACCAAAATTCTTAACTGAAATATTATAACAACAAGTATGTGATTTATGTCGTTCATAACCATGGATTTTTAATCTAAATAAAGATTCAGTCAAAAAATATTTGAAAGATACTAATGTATAACAAGAATGCAAGATTTGTATTATGATCTTTATAGATCCATCAACCTCTTTCTACTTATAAGGTAGGAAACCCTCCTCAAAAACAAAGTGAATTTGCAATCTCACTAGGGGCAGTAAGAGCTGCCAGGTGTCCCTCTAGCACATGCCTTGGCCTTGACAGTAGTGCCACACCTGTCTGGAACTTTGGCTTTGGCTCTTTCTTCTTCATCTCTCAAAGCCTCTTCGTAATGGGCTGGGAAGTCACTAGGTTCAGTATCATTAACCTTGGCCAAAAACTCCAAGACTTTCATTTTAGTAGTTTCAGCATGAGCTCGGGGACCCCACAGGAATTCATAGCGCGGAGGATCACTGCCACGCATCTGCCGGTATTCTAGATACCTTTCCTGCACCAGTTCTTGGGTGATAAGCTTTCTGGGATCCCCAAAGATTGTATGTGTCTTCCCATCATAGACCCCTAAAATATTCAGAAATTCCCAGACTTCCTCCTCGGTGGCGCAGTTGTCATTTAAGAAGATCACCCCCAGGAGAGGCATCAGAAGCCCATTCTTGGGAAAGCCTAAGCCAGTGATCATATCTTTCTTGCTGCTGAGCTCTACCTTGTTGATAAGTGTATAGGTGTTACCATGGGGCTTGACTTCCTTCAACTCAAGACCAAATACCAGATCCATACGCTCAGCGGCTTTCTTGAGGATCTCAGGGAAATGTTCCTTGAAACTTTTGTTGACAATTTTAAGCATTTCCCCTTTGAAAATGGGCTCTTTCATTTTATATTTATACAACAGGTACTGCATCAACATCCCTGCCTTCTTCAGGAGAAGCTCCTTCTGAGAGCTCTTAGTGGAGTGTGGGGCCCTAGAGTAATGTGTACCTTCAGCCTCCTGGCTCCTGCCACCTTTACCAGATTTTTTGTGTGAACCACCTACAGAAGCAGTGGTGATGGATGTAGCTCCCTGAGACTTATGGGGCAAGCCAGCTGATGAGGTGCTTGGGACAGCATCACCAGAACCATGTGAGGAGCGGGAGATGTACCCTCCTGCTGAAATGGCTTGAGTATCCTTGAGACTCTGTTGTTCATCTCTGGCCTGGCGGCGTTTCTCACGAGCACGGAGCTTGCTCTTCTGTCCCCGTGGCATGATGGCTGTGGTCAGGGACAACAGGCAGGAGTGTGGGCCAAAGAGCAGGTGTTGTTGGGACCTGGAGGAGTGATAGTAAGATGCTGTCAATGCTTTCAGAAGTGAGGCGGCATTTTGGCTTTTAGGAAGTCATCTCTCTAGGTTTCTGTGAGAGTACTGCTCTAGGAACCCACTGGACTCTTGTTCTTAGTCACCCTATTCCCAGTGAAACCAGTGGAGGAAATTATAATGCCCATAGGCTGTAACCTTACCTGGGTTGACTTGGTGACAGCAAAGGCTAGTGACAACAAGAGATATTCTCTTATTTTACTGACCTGAAACCTTTTGTGTTCAAGGGTCTTCTTAGTTGGCACACAGGATCACCTCATCTGCTCTTGGCAGGACATGGAACCTTTTTCCTGTGTTGCACTGAAGTTGAGAACTCAAAGTTCTCCCACTGAAGGTCTCCAGTTTGACTTCTGGAAAAGTCTAAAAATTCTCTCCCTGCTGACCCTTCAGACTAAGACCCTCACTTCTCTATTACTCCTGATTGGCTCTTCTGCCTTACATTTATTCCTAGGGCTTCCCAGGGTTAAAACAGAGAAGGATTCTGTGGGACCCCTGCCAATATGGGGTCGGAGTTCCCTGAAGTTGTCATAGTCTTCTGTGTGCCTCTCAGCACAACTTGGAAATCTTCCTTCTACTGACTGAGGCCTATTTTTATTAACATAAATTAACTGTACAAAGGGTTTCCTTGTGGTATTTCCATACATGCATATAATGAACTTTGATCAAATTCACCCCCTCAATTACTCTTTCTTATCCCATGTCTCCCTTTTAAAAAGTTTTTAGTGGGTTTCTTATGTTATTTTCATATATATGTACATATATGTACTTTTATCATATTGACCCCCGTCACCCTCTTCTTTCCCCTTTCCCCTCCTGCTGGTTCCCCTGAGTCTTCCTTTACAGTCATGTCATTATTATTATTGTTGTTGCTATTTTACTGACCTGAGACCTTTTGCATCAAATTCAGATCTTTGACTTCTTCAGAAACCTAAGATGAAAGAAAGCATGAGTCACATTCAGTTACTCCTGTCTTCTACGGGTCCCTAAACTCCACTTCAGCCCATCTCAGTCTTCCAGCCTTATACTGAGGCTTTCACCTCCTTAAGTCTCCAGAAATAGATGTGAGGGAGTGATACATTTGGCTACTTCTACCTGGGATTTACCAGAACTGAGAGGGGTGGGACTTTGTGGACTCCACTTTCTAATTAGGTGCTTATCTTATACTAAGACCCCCAACTCTCTGAGATACCCTGTGAAGAAGTAAAACTTTTCTCATCTGGCCACAACTGCCTGTAGTCTACCAAAGCTGACTGTTTAATCAAGAAGGGATTCTGTGTTGCCCTTATTTGGGATAGGGGGTGCATTTCCCTCAGTTGTCAAGGTCCTCTCCTTGATTCCTGGCACTAAATGGAAATCCTCCACCTGTAAAACCCAGTCTGCTCCCTCACTTCTCTTAGATGTTCTAGGAGAAGTGAAGAAGACTTATGTCACTATGCCCAGATCTCCCAGGTCTCATAATAGGCACAGGGCTCTACATGGGTCACCTCTTTCTGAGAGAAGTCTCTTCATACTATTACCATCTCAAGTTCTTTTAGGAGTCAAGTCCCCAATCTGTGCTGAAGGAAACTCTTTCATTAAATTAAAGACTTTGTGTCCCTGAGACCACCCCTGTATGAAACGAGGGGGCACCTCATCCTGAGAGCTCTAATACTGGCTTCTCAGAATACAGAGGTGAGACTTTGTATGTTCACCTCTGTTTTGAGTTAAAATTATTGTATTATTCCTCATACAGGATTTGTATTTTGACACACTTCATGGCCAGTGACCCCACTATTTCTGCACAACTTGGGCACTCAGCCCTTAAACCAAGGCCCTCATCTTCCTCAGATCCTGCAAGGTGAAATCACAGGGTGCCTGAGTGCTAGCTCTAGCCTAAAAACCCCAGTGATTGCACCAGGTACAGCTCTCTCCCTTGTGTATTGAGTAGCCTCCATTTCCTTACTCAGGTTCTTCATCTGCACTCTGCACCCTTTTTGGGATTCAATTCTTTATTGTCTAGAGGCTATGCCGTTCAGAGAAAGGTCCTCATATTCCTTGGACATGAGCTGACAGAGTGAACCACATCCTGCAGAGGCTGATTGGGGCCTGCCTACATGTGCTAAGAGCAGGGATGGGATTCTCAGGCCCTACTGTTCTGCAGACTATCTCCTTGAATTTTACACAGGACTTTACAGGACTTTTTGACTCCTGGTAGATTTAGAATTGTTCCTCTACTCACCTGAGTACACAAGCCTCAAACTAAAGCCCACATCTCCCTGAGTTACTAGAAGAGAAGTCAGGTGTGCTCCATAACAGAGACCTTGCCTGGGGCTCCCAGGTCAGATACTAGGGGCCTTTCTTTTGTGGATCCCTATTTAACAAAAGGTCAAGACACTGGCACTTAGGGCCACTTTTACTTCCATTAGGGAGAAGACCCCTCACTATTTGATAATAGGTCATGTCGGTGGCACTTAGGACCACTCTTACACTTTTTAGGCCCCAAATGCCTCCCTATTTAATACAAGAGCTGATTGCTGGCACATAAGGCCACTTTTGGTGCTTTTATGGCAAGACCCCTCCCTATTTTGACCAAAAGTCTAATCAGTGGCACTTAGGGCCACTTTCAATCCTTCTGGGGCCAAGACCATTCCCTATTTTGACAAAAGGTCTAGTCATTGGTTCTTAGGGCCACTTTTATTCCTGATAGAACCAAGACCTCTACTATTTTGATAAAAGTTCTGGTCACTGGCACTTGTGCAACTTTTATACTTTTTAGGGCTAAGACTGCTCCCTGTTTTAACAAAAGGTCTGATTATTGGCACTTAGGGCCACTTTTACTACTTTTAGGGGCAAGACCCCTCCCTTATTTTGACAAAAGGTCTGGATACTGGCATTTAGGGCCATTTCATTACTTTTAGGGTCATGACCCATCCCTATATTGACTGAAGATCTGGTCACTGCCAGTTAGAGCCACTTCTACTCATTTTTGGGTCAAGACCCCACCGTATTTTGACAAAATGTCTGGTCACTGGCCTTTAGGGCCACTTTATAAGTTTCAGGACCAAAACCCCTCCCTATTTTAACAAAAGAGCTGGTCACTGATACTTAAGGCTACTTTTCCTACATTTAGGGCCAACAGCCCTCTCTATTTTAAGAAAAGGTCTGGTCCCAGCAGTTAAGGATACTTTTAATCCTTTAGGGCCAAAACACCTCCCCATTTTGAGAAATGGTCTGGTCACTGGCACTTAAGGCCACTTTTACTCCTTTAGGGACATGATGCCTCTTATTTTAACAAATGGACTAGTCACTGGCACTTGGGGCCTTTTATACTTTTTAGGACCAAAACCCTTCCCTATTTTGAAAAAGGTTTGTTCACTTCAGTTAGGGCCACTGTTACTACTTTTAAGGCTAAAACTTCTCCCTATTGTGACAAAAGTTCTGCTCATTGTCACTTACGGCCACTTTTAAATACGTGTAAGGCCCAAACCCCTCCCTATTCTGACAAAAGGTCTGATCAGTGGTATGAAGGGCCACTTTTACTCCTTGTAGTGCCAAAACCCCTGCCTATTTTGACATAAATTCTGGTTACTGGTACTTAGGACATCTTTTACTGTTTTAAGGGCCCAAACCCCTCCATATTTTAAGAGATCTGGTTACTAGCACTTAGGGCTACTTTTAGCACTTATTGGGGTAAGACCCCTCCATATTTTGACAAAAGGCCTGGTTATTGGCACTCAGGATCACTTTTACAACTTTTAGGACCAAGAACTCTCCTTGTTTTGACAGAAGTTCTGGTCATTGGCATACAGGGCCATCTTGTATGTTTTAGGACAAAAACCCTTGCTATTTTAACAAAAGTTCTGGTTACTGCCAGTTAGGGATACTTTTACTTGTTTCAGGCCAAAACGCTCACTATTTTGAGAAATGGTCTTTTCACTGGCACTTAAGGCCACTTTTACTACTTTTAGAGCCAAACCCCTCCCTGTTTTGACAAAAGTTCTGGACAATGGCATGTAGGACCGCTTTTACACTTTTAGGGTTAAAATCCCTCGCCGTTTAACAGAAGCTATGGTCTCCGGCACCTAGGGCAACTTTTACACTTTTGGCGGCCCAAACCTTGCCTACTGTGACAAAACTTCTGGTCATTGGTACTTAAGGCCACTTTTACTCCTTTGAGGGCCAAGACCCCTCCTGTTTTGACAAAAGGTCTGGTCACTGGCACTTAGGGTGATTTTACATGTTTTAAGGCCAAAACCCCTGCTTATTTTAACAAAATGTCTGGTCACTGGCACTTAGGGCTACTTTTACTAGTGTTAGGGCCCAAATCCCTCCCTATTTCAACAAAGGGTGTAGACACCAGCACTTAGAGCCACTTCTATTACTTTTAGAGATAGTCCCTACCTCATTTTGACAAAACGTTTGGTCCTGGCATTTGGTCAACTTTTTTATTTTTTACAGCTAAGAATCCTGTTTTAATAATAGGTCTGGTCACTGGCACTTTGGTCAACTTTTAGGCTTTTTAGGGCCTCAAACCCTCCTTATTTAGATAAAAGGTATGGTCACTGACATTTAGGGTCACTTTTACTATGTAGGGTGAAGACCCTTTACTATTTTGACAGAAGTTCTGGCCAGTGGGACGAAAGGCTAGTTTTACCCCATCTAGGGCTGAGACCCCTCCCTATTGTGATAAAAGTTCTGATCACTGGCACTTAGAGCCACTTTTACTCTTTTAGGACCAAGACCTCTACTATTTTAACAAATGGTCTGCTCACTGACAGTTAGGGATACTTTTACTCATTTAGGGCCAAAACCACTCCCTGTTTTGAGAGAAGGTCTAAACACTGACAATTTGGGCCACTTTTACTCCTTTTAGAGCCAAGACCCCTCCTTTTGACAAAGGTCTGGTCACTGAC